CCCTCCCCCCCCCCCCCCCCCCCAAAAAAAAAACCACCCCACCTCCGTCCCCCCACCTACAGAAATGAATCATTTACACATTTATTCATTTATTTATTTACTTTTACATATATATATATATATTCATATATGTATCTATAGCCAACCTCAGTCGGGTTTTGCATGCGGGGCATTGGCACGCACAGTCTCGGATGCAAGACATGTCTTTCTGCAAGCATTCCTCCGATCGGACGAAAGTCGTGAATTGAGTCGGCGTGCTCGAGCTACTGAGCTACTGTAGCCAGCGTCATGGCTCCCAAGAAACGTATATATAAAGAGCTCGAAGCAGAGCCGACAGCCGCTGGGCAACGACATGCGTGTGTTAACTGCTTGATCATTTTATGCACATGTGATGCACGCCCAAGGCACAGGATGTGGCGAAATTTGATGCTTTAGCACTAAGTGCTTTGTCGAGTTTGACGCCAGAGATCCGCACAACTGTGGAAGCCAAGCTGTGCTTCGGCGATAAAGATTGTGCAAGCATGCTCGCTGTTGATCTTTCTCTTCTGTATACTTTGCGGATTGAGGCGGGCCATGCAAGGCCTTGGACCCGAGACTGCGGAGCACACTGCTTGGAAAGAGGCGAGTGTGCAGGGGCGGCCTGCTTCAGCGAGGCCTCCGGTGCCGCCGACAGCTGTGGAACCTGGAGTCCCGAAGGCTCTCCCTGCAGCGGCCCCTGTGCCCAGGCCTACACTTGTGACCGCAAGCTTGAACACTGCTGCCGAAGTCCCGACTCCTGCCGCAGTCGCTCCGCAGGCTGTCCCTGCAGCCCCTGTTGTGCCCAGCCCGACACTTGTGACCGAAAGCTTGAACACTGCTGCCGAAGTCCCAACTCCCGCCGGAGTCGCTCCACAGGCTGTCCCTGCAGCCCCGACTGTGGCCAGCCCAGCGCTGCTGACCGCAAGCTTGAGCACTGCAGCCAAACCAGGCTTTACCGCTGTTTCTGGAGTCGCTCCTGCACTCCCTGCCGTTCCTGACACACCTGTGCCTGTGCCCACACCTCCTGTCCCCAAGGCTCTTCCTGCAGCCCCGACTGTGCCCAGCCTGTCCTTTG